GGAAATTACTTTTATTAAGTAAAAGCAAATGGAGCCACACCTCAATCATTTAAATTTAATTGCTACTTTTTAAACGTCTTATTCTGGAAACTTTCCCTTTCCACCTGTTTCTTTACGCCGTTTCCAACTCACGCAGTTGTGAGTCCTTCTTCTCCGTCTTGGGGAGGGAGCTCCGCTGTACACCACTTCAATGCTTTGGGAACGTAGTCACGACTCCGTACTATTTTGTAATGCTATTTAGGATGCCAGCCCTGGAAGTGGCGAGGCTGTCAGAGGAACTTTCTTCGAAGACACCTGGGGCATTACTGGAGCTCCATCCTTTGGTGTGTTACTAGCATTCTGACCAAAGAATAGAATGAGAGAAAGGCTTTGTTCTGCTTTTAATGGGACTGCCCCAGGTGGCCCTTGCTTTAGAAAGTTGAGGGGCAGGGTGAAAGTATTCTTTGAGACATTCCCAGTGCCTATTCAACAGGGACAGGAAGGAGAACAGGGGACTGGGGCTATGCTCACTGATTTATCTGTCTCTGTGCCAGGGTGCTGGGTGGATCAGCTGCTGTCCCTCCTGACTGTCAGGCCGAGGGACTGTGACACCCCTCTATATCCACCTATACACTGCAACCTTGCACTGAGCTTCTGAACACCCCTTAGTCACCCCTCAGCCCCAAGGGCACGTGGCCCCAACTGCTGCATAGCAAACTCTGCCTGCGCTCAGGTGCTTTCCACCAAATGGCTCCATATTTGAAAAAGCCCCACGCACGTCCTCGCTTATACTTGAAATCAGCTCTGAACTTGTGCAAGTACCTGCTGCTGTACAAGCACCTAACACTACCTCATCCAGCGCCATATCTGACACCTACTGCGAACACAGTATAAATAGTTGTTCTTTAGAAGGAAACAAGGAGAAAAGGGCCTGTGTGACCAGCACAGACGCAGTGGCTTCGGAGAGGTCTTCGCCCAAGGCGGGCTGGAGTCTACGCTGTGTAGCTCTCCCACGTGTATGGATGGCTACCTGGAGAGCTTCTCTGACACAGTATAGGTTTTCATGAGCGAGACTGAGAAGCGAGCCAGGCTGTGACGCACACTCCTCGGCTCACACTGGCCAGGACTGGAGGAGGACGGAAGAGGGGGACATCCTACGTGCCCTTATTCTCAAGCTTCACAGCCGTGACCCGGCGCAAGCCCTGCGCTTCCCGATGGGATGCTGTCTCTTCTTTATTTTTAAAAGCTTTGCTTCCCCGCGAGAAACAGCAGGAATTGTCCATGTGGACTGCAGGGAGGTAAATGCTCGTTCTGAGGGCTTGAAAAGTGAGGCTTCGGGTGGGCGGGAGAAAATAACAGCCCTGCGTGCCAGAGAAGCCCCGTATGAGGACGCCTCCTTTCCTTGAATCCCCGCCCTTTGCTGACCTTACTGGAGTTGGGCCGCTGGGCTGGGTCTAGCCAGTGTGCTTGGCAGTTGGATCCAGACGACAGTACTTCCAGGCAGCTGCGTCATGAAAATCCTCATCTTCCTTTTTAACACTGAAGGAGAAGCAGGGGCTGTGGCTCAGCCCCGCAGCCTTTGCTAGCAGGGTCAAGCTCTGGGTTCCATCTCCAACATCACAGAAAGAGCAAATGCAAATGCAAATGCAAATGCAAATGATGGCAAAAACTGGCCTTCATGAGTAACTTTACCTAGACAGTTATCCGAAGGAGGCAATCCCTGGTCTCCCGGACAGGTGCCAAGGCTGTGCAGGACTGGGCTGTGTTTCTCAGGGGCTGGGATGATGAAGGACCATCCATCTCAGCTCACCTGGAGAACAACTGTGAGGCCTGTGGGTTCCTGGACACCAGCCCGGCTTCTGACTCAGAATCTTGGGCGGAAGCCAGAGGATATGCGTGTTTAACAAGCTCCCTTGGGAACTCTCGTGAGCACCACCGAAAGCTAAGAACTGCGGATTTATGTTTCTGGAAATAAGATCAACATGCGGAGAACACCAGGGTCCCACAGTGCATCTGAAAAGGCCTGGACTAGGAGAAATTCCCTTGTGCATCTTTCCAGGGGCTACACTGCAACTTCTCTCAGTGAAATACAACATCAACCTGCTAAGGGGGGCAGGCTCCTGTGGAACAGGAGAGGGACAACAGGGGAGGGAGGATGGAGAAGAGGGACTTTTGAGTCCCACCTGTGCAACTGGATGACTTCATGAGCTCCTGCTCACTTACCTATCACGTAATGATCTACCCATATAGTGATATAATTTATAAATATATTGATATGTCTCTAGATTATATCATAATATAATCTACAAATATGTTCACAATATAGTAATATATGTTTCTAGATTATACACTAATAGATAAATTTATAGATTGTATAAACCATGACAGAGTTATATAATTGCATGGTATATGAATGACCCATTTTATGTAATGATAAAATTAGAACTACTATAGATAAGGTATATGTTCATGTTTTATGTAAATTATGCATGCATTATTCATAAATTTGTACATCAATTTATACATTAACCTATAGATTATCAATGTATCTATTTAAGTATAGATGTGTTTCTATATTGCTGTTAATATCAACCCATTAATTCTTATGTCTTTATGACCCATCCTAGGAAGACACGCCTAATCGGTGCTGAATCAAGGTCCCAGTCTTTCTCAGATTCTAAGGGAAGTCAATGCACACATCGCAGCCTATCTTGAGGGCCACCCTCAAGTCCAACACTGTCTGCAGTAAGAAGAGGGCCTCTCCACTCCAGTGTGCATCCCCGTGTTCCCACCAGAGCAGCAGGACTGTGCTCGTGTCTCACGATGACCCTTGATGGGCCAAATCTCCAGGCACTTGTCAGCAGCTCACCTCCAGATGTGTGGCATCCCCCCGCCCCCGGAAATTAATTGAAGTTCTGAGAGCTCACGTACACAGTCCGGCAGCAGATAAGTTGGTGACTCTGGGGACCTTTATCCTCCTCTGCCGTGGAAGGCTGGGTTTCACGCATCCTGATTTTCCCCGACTGGAAATCACCCCGCTGGGATGCAGAGCTGGACACTGCAGGTGCTGCTGCTGGACTGCACAGGCTGGGCTGGCGGCGAGTTAGGGAGGATTTATTCTCATATTTCTAAGGTGACGAACAGAATCTAATAAAAAATGTGTAGTGGCATGAAAGACAATCGCCCCCAGATGGCTCTGCTCATGGCCAGTGACATGTTCCTTGCCCAGATGCATGGGATTGTCACCAGGGGGGAGCGGCGTGTCTCCCGGGACATCTCACTGGCCAGAAATGTGGAGATGCAATCCTCTAGCAGAAGCGGTGTCCACACACTCACCATGAACTCTTTCCGCCATGCCTTCCTGAGTCCACTTGCTGGTTCACAGCAGTAGGTGCACATGATCTTAATCACAAGCCTGCACCACCACACCTTGCCGGACACACTCCCTGGTTTTAGATGTGAATGACTGCAGGTTTTCACTCAGCTGAATACCAGAGGTCATTCTCCTCAGCACTTACTGTAATGGTTTGTGTCCAGTTGTCCCCCCAAAGCCTCATGCAGTCACGGGGCAGGGACTTCTAGAGTTTGTGATTAACTCGTGATCTACTGGGATTATGGGTCTTAATACTGCTGAAACTGTGGCTGTGAGTATTGCACCCAGCCTGGGGCAGAGAGCCTGAATGTGGCTTAAGGGAGACAGACTTGCTCTCTGCAGCCATTGTTGCTGCCCCTCCTCCCTTGCTCTCTGCTCTTTGCCACGGCCATGAGCTGCTGCCCTCTGCCATGTGCCGCTCTGCATTGGAGTCAGCTGAATATGGACTAAAACCTCCAGCAGCTGTGAGCTAAATAAAACGTTCCTTCCTTCATTTTGGGTGTTGCGTATTTGTCCCAGCAATGAGAGAAGAGTAACTGAGACCACTTACCCAGGTACTCCAAGATAAATGCCTAATCCTCCCCAAATCTTTGACTTAAACACAACTATAAAGTACCGCCTTCACAAGTCTCAGGACAAAGTTTATTTATTTATTTATTTATTTATTTATTTATTTATTTTGAGGAACTGGGGATTGAACTCAGGCCCTTCTGCTTGCCAGGCAAGCGCTTATTCTACTGAGCTATCTCCCTGGGCCCAAGGACAAAGATTTCAGTGGGCTTATTATTCTAAACACTGAAGACATGGAAGGCAGTACCTACACATCTCAACCCAGAATTAAAGAACTGTCCGGCAAGGTGTGGTGGTGCAGGCTTGTGATTCCAGCCCTCTGGGAGGCAGGAAGATGGAGTGGTGGAACCTTGCCCAGGCAGTTTAGCAATTTAGGGTGATGCTATCTCAAAATAAAAAAGGGCTGAGGGTGTAGCTCAGTGTGAAGACCCTGGATTCAGTGCCCAGAATCAAAAACCACAGTGGAAAACCCTCAGTACTGCTTGTCCAGAGACAGAGGGAAGAAGCAGAGATCATGTGCCTGGGGCCCTGTCCTTCAAAGAGTCCCATGTGACAACAGGAAATACATAACCAACAAAAATAAACTGAAGTGCTGGGGTGCTAGCTGCGGCGTCGGCGTCTGGCAGGTAGCTGTGGGCTTGGGACTGAGTGCTGCCTCACATCTCACCCCGCTGACAGTGAATGCCTGAGGAAGGCTCTGTGATCTGCAGTAAGAGCAACCCTTATCTCAGGGACTCCACATTCCAGTGGCCCAGTCTCACACCTGCAATGTCCTGCTGGTCACTGTTCGCCAGGTGGGGACTTGAGGATTAAACTCCTTCCACCCCCCAACTCACCATCTTCAGCACAAGGCATTGGCAGCGGCCAAGCTCAGTTCAGTCCTCCCTGCAGGCAAGATGGTGATGGGAACTGCTGTGGTGCGAGCCCAGGAAACCCAACTTTCCTCACACCCAGGGGACTGGGTCACAGGCTTACAACCGGGAAGAGGAGCGCATTGATGTGATGACCTTCTCACTGGTTCTCACTAGGCCCATGGGACACTGGGACAATGCTTCCTAAGGTGAAGGAAGAGGAAGCATCAAAAATAGCACATAATAGAAATTGCATGTGCATTTTAAAACACCACATTTAGCAGCCCATCGTCCAGGACTCTGAAGAATTAGGAACACTCCAGCAAGCCTGGGGCTGCTCCAGGTGCCTGTCTCAATCTGATGAAATGAAGAAGAGATGCAAAGAGGCACAGGGAAAGAATGAGATGATTGCACAGTGACACATCCACGTGGCACCCAGGAAAATTTTTCTGGGTGAAAAAAGAAACTGTGCATCAAAATGATGCCAGGACAACTGGATATTTGCACAATGGGGGAAAATGAGCTCTAACCCTTGCTTTACAGCAACCCTCTAAGTTGACTCAAAAGGCATCATTATGTAAAATGGTTAAACTCTAGAACTGAATCTAGGGAAAAGCACTGGGAAATTGGACAGCATGACACTTTCTACATCAGGATATAGCTGTGCTTTAGAATGAGAAGAGTAGATATCAGGACTCAATAGATTTGCTTTCCAAGACGCAGGAAAAAACAAAGAGGTGGTCCACGGGCTGGAAAAAAATGTAAAAATATATAGAAAGAGAACACTTAAGAAGGAAAAAATAACACAGTCTTTCTAAAAGGATCAAAGATTGGGGCAATCACCTTGAAAGAGATTATAAATAGCCAAATTTAAGGAAAAGATTCACAAAAGCTCTAATCACTAGGGAAATCCAAATTAAAACTCTTTATATCGCATAGAAGTCCTAAGTCAAGAAGACCAACTTTTACGACTTGATGGGGTGTGAGGGAAGCGAATGTTTTGTGGGGTGGTGTAACACTAAAATAGTGCACTGATGGGTTTATAGCTGGGTATGGTGTTCTGAGGTGAGGCCAGGTAGGAGAAGGTGGGTCATTGTGAATGTGGAAGAGTATACATAACCCTTGTTGCGGTTTATGTCCAGTTGTCCTCCCAAAGACTTATGCATTCATGGGGTGGCTTCTGGAGTTTGTTATTATTGTGGGTGCAGATGCTGCCCCTGCCCTGGGGCATGTAATTTGCATTACAATGTAAGGAGGGGAGAGGGGCTAGCTGCTGCCCCTCCCTTTGCTCTCTGCTCTTTGCTGCCACCATGAAAGGTTGCTTTCTGCCCTGTGCCACTCTGCCTTGGAGTCAGCTGAGTATGGACTGAAATCTCCGAGTAACTTTGAACTAAATAAACTTTCCTTCTTTCATTCTGAGTGTCAGGTATTTGTTCCAGCAACAAGAGAAGAGTAATTGAGACAGAATTTGGTACCAGAAGAGTGGGGTCAGTGCTGTAACTAACCTGACCATGTGGATTACAAGCTTTTGGGAATGGCTTATGGGAAGAAATAGAAATGGTATGGAGATGTTACCTATAAGAGATGTGTTGGACATCTTTGGCTGTTATATATGGGAAATTCTGGACAGAGCTCAGACTAGAAGACTGATGGAAATCCTGCCTGTAAAGACCACCTGGGGAGGTTTCTTTTGGGAAGAAGGACTGCACTAGTTGTTGAACTCCAGACAATGTGTGTTTTGGCTTGACAGAAAATTTGTCTGCATCTTGCATATGTCCAGAGACTTTGCCTGAGACTGAGATGAAGTGCTACAGACTGATTAATCCTTCAAAACAAATTTCAAGGCAGCCAAATATTGAGGGAGTGGCATGGCTATTGTTGAGGGTTTTTGGTCAGATTTATGTTGAAAATCAAGAGCAAAGAGCCCACCAGGATGATTTAAAATGCTGTGAGTTTGGCCAGAAAGAACACTCCAATGAAGCCGTGGAATGCAAAGATAGAACTGAGAGGATCTCCATTGCCAAGAAGGAACAAGAGATGCAAAAGACAGCCTGAGGGCATCCCCTCAGGAGGTGGCGGGTCTCCAGCCTTTGCAGCCCCAGAATTGCAAGGGTGAGGGGCTTTGCTTTGAGGGAAAATCCACAGAGCTCCATGTTCCAGAATGGAGGCAGTGGCCACACCAGGTTACAGAATGGTGCTGGAACCATTTATTCCTTGGAATCTTGGCCAAGGGCTCAGTTATCCATGCACTGGACTACTACAGTGAAGAGAAAAGGTAGTCTGGCTACTGCTCCAGCTGGCAGAGCAGACCTAGGCATCATTGGTTTTAAGTGCTTGCAGAATGCAGGAGTTCTGAGGTTAAGGAGGATTCCATCTGGACTTCAGAAGAAGGTCTGGGAGGCCGGGCAGTATGCCCCTGAGAGGGCAGTGTGTGAAGCTGTGAGTGGAAACCCCAGAAGTGTGGAAAAGCCAGGAATATGGATCATCTAAGGGAAACTGCAAGGAGGGCACAAAGCTGGCCTAAGAGAGAAGCTGTGGAAGCTACCACCAAGAGTGCTGTAGGGGTGGAGCCATGTAAGGCTTCTAAAACTCACAATGGATTGTTTCAGATGCTCCACATGGAACTACGGGGCTTAATGTTTGCCCTGCTGGATTTTGGATTTGTGTTGGTCCCAGTGCTTTGTATTTCTCTGTTGTTTGTACCTTTTGGGATGATAATGCTTGTCTTGTGCCACTGAATGTCGGAAGTGTTTAACTTTCTTTTGTACAGGGGCTCATGGCAAAGAGTTTGCCTTAGATCTTGGAAGAGACTTTGACTTGGACTCTTCAGCAATGTTGACACTATTGGGACTTTGGCAGCTCTTAGAGATGGACTAAAATATCTTTTGCAGAAAGGAATGTGCATGAGATATTGGGGGTCCAGGGGCAGAATGCTATGATTTGTGTCTAGTTGTCCCCCCAAAGACTCATGCAGTCATGGGGCGGCTTCTGGACTTTATGATTGATCATTCTGCATGTGAACACTATCTGCACCCTGGGGCAGGTAAATTTCCATTACAACGTAAGGAAGAGAGAGGGGCCAGCTGCTGCCTGAGCAGCTGTCACACACCTTCACTCTGTGCCCTTTGCCACCACCATGAAAGGCTGCCCGCTGCCATGTGCCACTCTGCCTTGGAGCCAGCTGAGTAAGGACTGACACCTCCAAGTAACTAAAAGCTAAATAAACGTATCCTTCCTTCATTTTGGGTGTTGGGTATTTGTCCCAGCAATGAGAAGAGTAACTGAGGCAGCCCTCCTCCCTTGATCCCTCTCGGCTTCCTGCCTGCCACAGCAT